CTGTGGATCTGTATTTGGGATCACAGCATACTAACATTTACTGTACTTTAACAGAGCCTGTTAATAATAGACCCAACAGGCTGAACAGTTTTTTGCACAGAGAATTATTCCTTTGAATCTAAATCTTACATAAGATTAACTTGATATAGCAATCCCATTTTGCTCACTTCTCTAGTTGCAAACTGTAGTCAGTGTGTTAATTTTGCTTTTCTCCAGAGTTTGGTTGTGAAAGTGCCATTTAAACCCTGATGGAGTTACATAACCTGCGTAACAGTACCCTGTATAGACATTCAATCTGAATAGGATCTTTCTTGTTCTGATACAGGACATCAGTCATCCATTGCAAGTATCTTGAGCAAAGGAGCATTTACTCATCTATCCCATAAGTCACCACAGCAAGACTGGGTGGTATTTAAAGCTGTATTGTCACTGTTTGTGAGTGTCTCAGTGTGCAGACACATCACCTGTGAGCTGCTTCATCTCTCTGTCAACCTGTGCCAAGCTTCCCCTCTAGTCAAAAGGAGGCTGAGGTGGCAGCCACAGTGCCCTGAGGACCAGTTCCCCTCCTCCAGCTCTTTGGCAATGTGTGGGCTGTGTTCTTGCAGCACAATCCAACCCTTGAAGTCACTGCAAACTGACTTTACTTTCTTCACATTGGCTGACTCTCAAGTGCTGGAAAATGCTGTAATATTCAGTAGGGAAAAACCCCATCACTCAGGGAGTGTTCATGTCAAGGACAGAATAAGATGACACTGACAGTGTGATTTTTTTAATCTTTAACCTCTGTGGCTAGAACTGAATGTGGAAAGCTATATACATTTCTCTTGCCTGAATTACTTTAGCTAGTACTTTCATATATGCTTTCAACTTTGCTGATCTGATTGAAAGATAATTCACAGATCTCAGAGATGAAAAGTAAATTTACCAAGCAAAATCGTGGAAATTTGGTAAATAGTTGGTACATCTCAGAGCCATTGTTTATTATCTGTTCTTGCTCTGCTGGGTTAACTGATGTTGTTTTAAATGGGATTCAGATGCTCAGTTTTAGCCTACCACCAAATCTTAAGCAGTTTCATTTGCTGGATCTGCTATTCACAAACAGAGAAGGATTTTTGGGTGATATAATGATTAGAGGCTGTCTTGGGCATAGAGATCACAAAATGATGGAGTTTTTTATTCTTGGAGAAGTGAGGAGGAGAGTCAGCAGAACTGCTACCTTGGACTTCCAAAGGGCAGACTTTGGCCTGTTTAGGAGACTGGTTGACAGGCTCCTTTGGGAGGCAGTCCTGAAGGGCAAAGAAACTCAGGAAGGCTGGATATTCTTTAAGAAGGAAATCTTAAAGACGCAGGAGCAGACCGTCCCCATGTGCTGAAAGAAGACTGGCCTGGCAGAACAGAGAGCTTTGGCTGGATCTCAGGAAAAAAATAAAAAAAGACTTTCATGACCTTTGCATGAAGGGGCAGGCAACTTATGACTGAAAGGATGCTGTGAGGTTATGCAGGGAGCAAAACTAGAAGGGCCCAAGCCCAGAATTTAATTGTGTTACCGCTGTAAAAGACAATTAAAAATGTTTCTGTAAATACCTTAGCAACAAATGAAGGGCTAAGGAGAATCTCCATCCTTCAGTGGATGCAGGAAGAAGCATAGTGACAAAGGATGAAGATAATGTTGAGGTACTTTAATGCCTTCTTTGCCTCAGTCTTTAATAGTAAGGTCAGCTGTTCTCTGGGTACCCAGCTCCCTGAGCTGGAAGACAGGAGCAGGGAGCAGAGTGAAACCCCCATAATCCAAGGTGAAATGTTTAGTGACCTGCTACACCCTTTAGATACACACAAGTCTATGGGATCAGAGGGGTTCCACCCAAGGGTCCTGAGGGAGCTTGCAGAAGCAAGCCACTTTCAATCATTTATCAGTGCTGTCTAACTGTGGAGGTCAGCAAACGTGATGACCATTTACCAGAAGGGCTGGAGGGTTGATCGAGGGAAATACAGGCCTGTCAGTCTGACCTTGGTGCCTGGAACAGTGCCATCATGTGGCACATCCAGGACAACCAGAAGATCAGGCCCAGTCAGCATAGGATTATGAAAAGCAGATCCTGCTTGACTAACGTGATCTCCTTAAATGACAAGATGATCGGCTTAGTGGATGAGGGAAAGGCTATGGATGTTATCTAACTGGACTTTAGTAAAGCCTTGGACACTGTTCCCCACAGCATTCTTCTGAACACACTGGCTGCTCATGCCGAGGACAGGTGTACTCTTTGCTGGATAAAAAACTGGATGGCCAGACCCAAAGAGTTGTGGTGAATGGAGTTAAATCCCGTTGCAGGCTGGTTGCAAGTGGTGTCCCCCAAGGCTCAGTACTGGGGCCAGTTCTATTTCACTCCTTTATCAATGATCTGGGCAGGGAGTTCAAGTGTACCCTTAGTAAGTTTGCAGATGACACCAAGTTTGGTGGGAGTGTTGATCTGCTTAAGGAAAGGAAGGCTTTTCAGAGGTACTTGGACAGGCTGGATCGATGGGCTGAGGGCAACTGTATGAGGTTCAACAAGGCTGAGTGCTGTGTCCTGCACTTGGGTTGCAACAACGCCATGCAACACTACAGGCTTGGGGACGAGTGTCTGGAAAGCTGCCAGGCAGAAAAGGACCTGGGGGTCCTGGTTGACAGCCGACTGAACATGAGCCATTAGCATGCCCAGGTGGCCAAGAAGGCCAACATCATCCTGGCCTGTATCAGAAATAGTGTGGCCAGCAGGACCAGGGAGGTTATTGTGCCCCTATTCTCTGCACTGGTGAGGCCACACCTTGAATACTGTGTTCAGTTTTGGGCCCCTCGCTACCAGAAGGTCATTGAGGTGCTGGGGCGTGTCCAGAGGAGGACAACAAAGCTGGTGAAGGGTCTGGAGAACAAACATTATGAGGAGTGGCTGAGGGGGCTTGTATAGCCTGGAGAAGAGGAGGCTGAGGGGAGACCTTGTCGTCCTCTACAACTATCCGAAAGGAGGTTGTAGTGAGGTGGCTGTCGATCTCTTCTTGCAAGTAACAAGCAATAGAACAAGAGGAAATGGTCTCAAATTGCACAAGGGGAGGTTTAGATTGGATATTAGGAACAAATTCTTTACAAAAGGGCTTAATAAGCATTGTAACAGGCTGGAGACACCACTATTCCTGGTGGTGTTAGAAAGACATATGGATGTGGTATGTAGGGACGTGTTTTAGTGGTGAACTTGGCAGTGCTCTGTTGGCGGTTGGACTCAATGATCTTCAAGGTGTTTTCCAACCTAAGCAATTCTATGATACTATCTATTGCAACCAAGGCTGCAGTTGCTGCAGAAGGGTTGTGGTGCAGATGTGCGATATTAACTAGGAGCCTTAACAAATTTGGCCCATGGATCCTTGTTTCCTGAAGCAGTGTTTACAAGAAAATCTTGCAGAACTTAGAAGCAACTGCAGTATTGCTTACCCTGAGCAGACACCAAAACCTGCTTTCCTGTTAAAAAAAAGAAGTAAAATAGGTAGAAGTGCCATCTCAAAGGTGCTCTCTGTAACTGTGTCTGTATCAAGAAAGAGATGAGTTTTTTTATTTAACTTACTTTATGGTGCATATTTTCCTCTTTTAGAAATTTGAAGGTTTTAGTAATATAAAAACATGCAGTAAAAAAAACAACAAACTGATTATAGGAACTTATGTTTGTAAATAAGAATAAATTATTCCTTGCCTACATTATTCCTTTGGATTATTGCATGTCAATATTTCATATATTGTTTACTTAGAGCTTTAAGAAACGTTTTTCAACATCTGGTATTTAAGGTGCATATTAGCACTTATTTGCTGTCTTTTTTTGAGTTAATTTGACCTCCTGCAGTCTTTGTATGATAGGAGGAACTAATATATATCTTGTTTCAGTCCACCATTGAAATTCTGTGCTACTTCAAAAGTGAATTGTGAAAACAATAAACCCAGGAATTAACCCCCAAAGCATAAGATGCAGAGACTTCCGTGTCTGTGAGATCTCCAGGTTTATCTAGACGCATACCTGATTCTTCCTACTGTTAGAACCCCTTAAAAACGGAAATTAATATACTGATAGCACCACTAGCTGGCAGGAAATCAAAGTCTGCCAAGATGTGAACTGGAAACATAAAGACAAATTCACTTGGCCTCTACCCAGCATTTGCAGCCACGAATCAAGGACCTTGGTGTCCATGTATTGCCTTTTTATTCCTTTCTGTAGGAAACAGTATTGTCAAGAGCTTATGAGTTCCTGTTTTTAAGCTACCCATAGGACATCTGCAGCATAAACAAGTTCCATAATATTTCTGTGAAAAGCTCGTGATAACAGCAAGATTATACTTTTGTGAAAAAATTTGATTGCTGACTTGGAGGCAGATACATCATCAAATCAAAACTAAATAAACTCCTTTAACCAGTTCTTCTACATTATTCATTTATTTTGTTTGTTTTGTAATGTTAGATATTATCTGTATTTATAAACTTGAGCTATTAAACTCTATTTCTGTAGAGAATACTATTTGTATGCATTACAATTGGGAAAGTCATACAGGTTAAATATTTATTCTTTACTAATTGGTTTTCTTCCCATTCTTTGCCAGCAAAAACAATATTCAACTCAAATCAGTTTGAGTTTCATGCAAGTCAGGTGCATAATACATTGGTTTTAGAAGCCAAAACCTATTTACACCACAGCTGATGAAAAAAAATGGTGTTGATTCCTGCAGTGACGTATCAAGAACCTTTACAGCAACTTTTCTTCAAAATTTTGAAGTTTTAATGTTGGTTTCCTAAGCGATCTTGTTACATATGTATTACCTGTGTATGTCTGCGGGTGCATTAACTGAGAGTGCTGAAGCTGACTACCTCAAATTAGGGAGAACTTTTCTCACATGTACCTTTCTTTAATTTTATGTATATGTGAAGACAGAAGAACCACTGCTAAGTTGTCTTAACTGCTTAATTATTTATTGTGCCTTTATTCCAGGTCACTCTTGTCATGTGAGTCTCTGGCCTCTACGACGTTAAGCTTCTCAGAAAGTCAGTCCACTTTGAGTGTCAAGCAAGAGTGGTTGCATGGGTACAGGACACTTCCTTCTGTTCCTCCTGACCATGGTTTACGAAATGGCAGTGAGCTGGGGGACTTACTAAATTTTTCACCTGGAACATCTGTGCCCAGTAACTGTATCTCTGACTCATTACCAGCCTACTTGTATGGCATGGAAGATAAGCATTCCCCTTACTCTAGTCCTTACCATTCCTCAGCCTGGTCTCAATCAACCCGATCCAAAAAAAGAACACTCTCAGTATCTCCTCTGTCTGACGGCATTGGGATCGACTTCAGTACAATAATCCGTACATCTCCAACCTCTCTGGTGGCCTATGTCAACAGCTCCAGGACATCACCAGCAAACGTCTCCCCACAGCCTGAGGTCTATGGACATTTTCTGGGAGTGAGAGGAAGCTGTATATCCCAAAATTGCTCCATGCCAACTGCGCAGAAAGGCCTTCTCATGGCTAATGTCAATGTTACCTTCCCAGGGTACGTTCAGAATGGGGCTGATGAGTACCAGCGGATGCAGCAGCTGGAGCAAGCCAGTTTGCAGATGGCCACCACAAGTAACATGGTGATCCAGCAGGGTGTGCTGCCTGTGGACAACCAGGCAGTAGGTGTCTTGAAAAATGAACGGCTGGATAACTTCTCAGGCCATACAGTTGACATGCCTCCTCCACCCCTGCTGCCACTCCCTCCTCCACAAGGACCACCCCCACCATACCACGCTCACCAGCACCGGCTTCTACGCAGCCTCCCAAAACACATTTATCCACTGCCTGTGCCTCCTCTTGTGCCAGGCTCCCTGCTTGATGAAGATGGGGAGCTAGATGATTTCAATGGCAAGCATGGCTGTCACTGGGTTGACTGCGGTGCGCTGTATGACCAGCAAGAAGAACTTGTGCGACACATAGAGAGGATCCATGTAGACCAGAGGAAGGGAGAGGACTTCGCTTGCTTCTGGGCAGGGTGCCCACGAAGGTACAAGCCATTTAATGCCCGTTATAAACTGCTGATTCACATGAGAGTTCACTCAGGGGAGAAGCCAAACAAATGCACGGTAAGTCTGAGTTCTGTTTCTCTGACCTCTAAAAGGCTCTATGTTACTCAGGAAAATACAGAGAAGTTGTTATTCTTCCTATTTTTTTCCTAGTTAATGGTGTGCTTTTTTAACTAGTCTGTGTGAACGAGTGACTGCTCCATCTTTCCACCTAGATAGAAAGGAAAGATATTCTTCAATTTGATATGTACCAACAGATAGGATTAGACAAAATTTTATTTCCTGAATTTATAAACTTCTACTGTAGACTGCAAAAGTGACATGGTAGACCTTCATAAAGCAAAATCTAAGTACCATCAGTGCTTAAGTACCTGCATGAAGGATACATTTGGGTAAAGCGCTGCAGAATAAATGCCACAATTTATCATGAAATATTCTTGCATCATGTTACTCCTTTTTGACTTGAGGAATTTTCATGATCTTGCATAATGTTACCATGAGAAACTGAGAAGAGTTGGGTAATTTTAAAGGCAATTGTTTGTTTCATTACTAACAAAAGCCAGACCCACAGCCCTGTTTTCATGAATACAACAGAAATAAAACAGATAACAATTTATCTGTGTACAGACTCTAGCAGTAAGCATTAAATCCCTGAAGTAATGGTTTTTTTGCTGTTTTTCTTAGGGTCACTTCAAGTCCGTCTCATACATATATAATTATGTGGGGTAACAATGTAGCCAGTAAACCCTAGAATGAGTTTATATTTAGACTCCAGTGAACCATCTGTAATCTCTGTAATTCAAAGTCTTGATTGGCTTTACCTGTAGTCTGTATTCTGGATGATCAGTAGTTTACCCTTACTAAGTGCTTATTTAGTGTCAGTGGAAAGCAGCCTCGGCAGTCCTCAGCATAACCTTTCATGTTTTAAAATGTAATGAAATGTAGAAATATGCAAAGTCACATGATAACCCTCATAAAGTAGGTGTAAATCTAGAACATAGGCCCCCTTTCTTGAAACAAGCATGCAGAAATGGCATTCTTTATGAGGGCTTGAGTGAAACAGCTTGCTGCTTGCTTTATTTACTGTTTCATGAATGATGTAAATTTGGAAAAACCTGTTTGTCTTTCTAATGCCAAAAGGCCATGATCTGGAAGTATCTCAATATATTTAGGAAGCCATACTTCAGTCAAACTTTATACATTTCTCATCAAGCAGTGAAATTTACAATCACATCAATACAATTTAAGGTTTTAAACTGAAATTTTAAGTGAGGTACTAGGGAGAACACTTCGAGCAAAATGGTAATGAATTTTGATTTCATAGGATTGTACAATCATTAAGGTCTAAGATCATCAAGTCCAAATGTCAACCTAACACCACTGTGCCCACTAAACCATGTCCTGAAGTGCCACATCCACACACTTTTTTAACCCCTCCAGGGATGGTGACTCCACCACATAGAATCATAGAATCATAGAATGTACTGGGTTGAAAGGGACCTTTAAAGATCATCTGGTCCAACCCCCCTGCAGTAGCAGGGACAATGTTACCAGATCAGGTTGCTCAGAGCCCCATCAAGCCTGACCTTGAATATCTCCAGGGATGGGGCCTCCACCACCTCTCTGGGCAACCTGTTCCAGTGATCTGTCACTGTCATATTGAAGATTTTTTTCCTAATATCCAACCTAAATCTACCCTTTTCTAGTTTAAAATCATTACTCCTTGTCCTATTGCTACGTGCCCTAGTGAACAACTCTTTCCGCTGCAAGATACACAGGGGTCTGGGAAACGAAGAACAAACAGCAGCCTGAGAAGGGGAACTGCTAACTGGGCTGGAAATGACGCGTGGGCTGATTTTCATAGAATCACAGAATCATTTGGTGGGGAAAGACCTTTGAGATCATCGAGTCCAACCATAACCTGTCCATTACTAAACCAAGTCCCTAAGCACCTCATCTACTCGGCTTTTTAATCCCTCCAGGGATGGTGACTACCACTTCCCTAGGCAGCTGATTCTAGTGCTTGATAACCCTTTCAGTGAGGAAACTCTTCCTAATATCCAGTCTAACCCTTCCCTGGCTCCAGTTGTGGCTATTTCCTCTTGTCCTATCACTAGTTACCTGGAAGAAGAGACCAACATGCACCTTACTACAACCTCCTTTCAAGTGGTTGTAGAGAGCAATAAGGTCTTCCTCAGTTTCCTCTTGTCCAAACTAAACAATTGCAGCTCCCTCAGCTGCCTCATATGCCTTGTGCTCCAGACCCTTCACCAGCTTTGTTGCTCTTCTCTGGACAGACTCCCGTGTCTTGATGTCCTCCTTCTTGTGGGCGACCCAAAACCAAACGCAGTATTTGAGGTGCAGCCCCACCAGTGCCAAGTACAGGGGCACAATCACATAACAACAACAACAACCACCATAATACATAATACGTAACGCATAACACATAATCACAATTATGTATTTAAGTGATAAATAAATCCATTAATAATCTTTATTTGTCCACCTAGGGTCGTTCTATATTTTTTTTTTCTGGTTCTATGTGTAGGATGCCTCTTTCTCTAAAATCATTAAAAAGTAAAAGTGTATGTCCACTGCAGTTTGCAGACTAATAAGAGGCAGTCTAGTAGACCAAGCAGGGAAGGAGAAATGCCAAATGCACATCTATTATGTGAACCAACCAGATTTACTACACAGAATACAGCAGAAGTAATACGTCTTCGAGAGGAACTATCTTAATGTAATCTGTCAATCCTGTAATCAAAGGCAGACAGTTACACTGGTCACCTTAGTGACAACACAGACTAGTCAAGGTGTAAGCAGAGTATGTGTTGATGGTTCCTAACATTTTGTAAGAGGCAGTCTTCTAATTAAGCATATATTGCAATGAGTCCCAGTCAGTATATTTATCATGCAGCACTTGTTTCTGTGCAGCAGTGTTGAAAGTGCATTATTATATCCCAGTGGATTGCTGTGATAGTTCAGCAAGCACAATAGGTCAGGGTTACTTTTAAGTTGTATTATTGTGACATTAATAGGGATAATGTGGAATCAGATGCACATCTAATTATAAGCTAAACTTCATAAAATCATTTTATTATTCTCTGTTAGTGCTCTGTGATGATGAAATCATGTATTTGAGAAGAGATTTGAAGACCAGCTAGGACTGCAGTATTTGATTTGCTTATAGTAGAAATCAGAGCCATGGAGAACCTCAGTAACAAAAATTTGAGGTGATAAGCTATAGCTACAAGTGATACTCTAGTCATTAGTTCCTTCTCGTTCTGGATGAGCAATCTTCTTTTATTCTGGAAGATAAAAGTGTTGTAGGGTGACTGTTAATCAGATAGGAGTACATAAAACCATGAGACTATCATGGCAATCAGATCCAAATTTGAAGTCAAGCATTCTTAAAGTCAGAAACTTGGAACGTAGCTCTCCCTCTGTACAAAGGTAAGTAGGGTGGAGTGGTAAACAATTACATACTGGTCCTAATAGATCTGGTTTATATTGTTGTTTTCCTGTGAATTAGGCTCTTTTTTCATAGCTTTAACTCCATTTGCTGCCAACGCTGCATGTTCAGATTTGGAAATTTGATCCAATATGCTTTCTCTGTGTACTGAAAAATCATAGTGTATTTTTCATTCATCCATTTTTAGAATATTGTATCTTGTTCTAAAAAATTGACTTTAATTTTAAAAAGCATGACTTTCACTGAGTCCTGCATTTTCGTTTAGATGGGAAGCTAAAGTGGGTGACTATGCTTTGCCTAGCTTTATTACATGGAAATCTGTGAAGTGGAAGAGTACCTGCATGCAAGATGCCTTGCTTGAAATTGTCTTGTTTGGAATAGATGTTCTTTAAATAGCTGTTAGAATGTGTTGGGCTCCCTTACTTTCTATTAACACATCTTTCATGTTCTATTCCAGTTTACTGCATCTGGAATGCATTCTTCTTTTTAATGACCTGCTTTAAAGCCTACAATATTATTAATGACATGGTAATATATATTAACTGTCTATTCATAGAATCCTAGAATGGTTTGGGTTGAGAGGGGCCTTAAAGATCATCCAGTCCAACCTCCCTGC